CAGAATATGAATCCTTATTCTCAGAGTTATCACAGAATGTGCTCTATACTACAAAGAAGAACACCAAATTTGCAAACACGGATACATAAAATACGATTGTGACTCTGCATATGATTAATAAAACACACTGAGTATTTTAGATTTTGTCGAAAAAGGCAAAACTTGGGCAGAAACAAGTCACAACTTTCAGGAAATGAACAGAACTAAGGTGACTTGGAAGTTAATGCTCTCACATGCATGTGATAAATGGAAATCATTAACTTGTTACAGTTTTGTTCTCCCAAGGATGTAAACAGCACAGACAAATAAATCCACTTCATCTGAGGACCTTCCTGGACCTATAACAAAGGGTCTTTCGTGCTTTTTTCCTCTCCAAACAAAATAACATCCTTTTCACTGCGGAGGTGTGGCTGTACTCACAAGTGTTTGCACACACACTGGTCAACACCCTGTTGTAAGAACACCAACAAGCAACATCCTGCTGTGCAAACAGGCCAAGAGTATGCATCATGCACAGCAAAGCTCTTCCTTTTAAACACTATAAGGAAGCTCTTACTTCTACTCTAATTAGAGTTTGTGCTGCCCCGTCAGCCTGCCCAATCAGCTCTACCCACTCCACTTCCCCTTACACCTCCCCCTGCTGTCCCTTTCACTAACCACAACATTGGTGACTCATGTCGCCTCCTCACCAAAGGAAGAAGAAGAAAAAAAAAAAGTGTGTTCGTGTATGCCAGAGCATCTCTGCCTTGTGCCCAACAAATCTAGCTTTGGCTGAAGAATGACAGGCGCACACCTTCAGTCTCCTTGGCAGTCCATCTGTGTGTGTCTCCCCTCTTACACACTGGCATGCATCGCATTTAATTATAGTCTCAGTTAGACTTACACACACATACACGCAAAGGGATGCTCGTGGAAGGCCACTTCTTTGAGTGAAAGTGCTGGAAACTCCCGTCTAAATACCCTTACTTCCTCGTTTCAATGGAGTGTAAGGCAAGAACCTGCAGGGAATAGGCGCTGTATGACAAAAAAGCACTGCAAAACTCTTGTCAACATCTATCTGCAACACCTATGCTCTGTTGTCAGTAAGCCATAAGGTTATGCATAAGGCAACAAGTGACTCTCCTGCGTCTGATAGCACTACGAGGCACGTTTGAGTGTAAATCATCTGTTGTGTTGGTACAGACTGCAGCATCTGTCAGCTTTGTATGTGTCATCGTTAAACCGTTCAGCTGACCCAGAAATGCTGAAACGTTAATGGTAGACCACACGTGATGTTACCGACTCACACACACAAATCTCACTGAATATTCTGGGGGTTTTTAAACTTAAAGATATGTATGAAGCACAATGCTCAGAAATGACTCAATTACTGTTACGTCAAACCCCCAGCTGACGTCAGTTGCAGCTACGAGACAATAACACAACATTTTCTTTCCTTAAAAAACACCCCCATCAGGGACCACACATTTGGTCAACACCACAAATGTTATCAAACAATAAGCCATGAAATTTAACGCTCATCCATTCATATTGACTTGTCAGCTGTTAGCCAAACATGCTACGTTTAGCTTTTAGCTAGTAGTTAGGTGCAAAACGGTGTACCACGGAAGGCCTGCCCGGTTAACTTACCGTGACATTATTCTAGCGAACGCACGCTAAGGTTTCTGGAGGACGTGCCTTTTCGTTTTTCCCCTATAGTTTTAAAGAGAAAACGCCATATGCTATGCCATCTCTCGCCTCGGACGTAAGACTTCCCAATGCTGTGCACCTGCTAGTGGCGACGTGTAACTCCGACGTATTCTTACGCCCTGTAAGGCTTTCCCAGTTCCTTTTCCATCGTGGGAAGTAGCGCCAGATCCCGGAACTACAATTCTTAGTCAAAAATATCCTTCCGCAGGTGGGGAGTAGGTGACGCAGGCACACGACGTATCTCTTTTTTGTTCCATTCATTCATTCATTTTTTTGGTACTCCCTTACCTCATTCAGACCAGCTACGAAAACAACCAGACACGTTTCAGAACAGTGCTAGTCATGACGGGTCAGCCAGTAGCTGTTATGGGAGTTTGTGCTCCAATTGCTTGAGTTGTTGTTTTTTTTTGTTTTTGTTTTTTCAAATAAACCTCTTTAAAAAAATAGGTAAAGACAGAAACTGCAAATGAGAAACCTCAACTGTCACTGCATATATCACTTTTATTTCACAGTAATTAATGTTTATTTAATTTATTTACTCTTATTAGTATTAAAGTGTATTCACGCACAATACAGCGTATTCCACTGTCCTTTCTCTTTCCTTCTTTCTAATATTGTTAAGCATTAGACAGCAGCTTAATTTTTAATCTAATTAGCTGCTGATTGAAGCCACATCACGTTGCTCTTACATGACTACTCCACAAGATGGCTGTGTTTCACAAAAGCCTCCTCCTACCCTCTCTAATGAATTAGTTTTAACATTAATAATGTCTTTCAGATTTAGTTATTGTTAGTTTAGTATTTCAAGTTTACTATCATTAATCATCATTTCATTATTTTTTAAAGGGATTCATTTTTTTTCATGTATTTGTCCTTTATATCAGTATTCTTCATCTTTATTTATAGTTTACAGTGATGAGCATTCTGAGTGATGCAAACCACAGCTTGACGTCAATGCTTCTCAGCGAGTTCCATAATAATAATTTAATCTGAAACGATAAATAACAGCATGCAAACACATTTCAGAACATTTGAACATACTATCAGCTTTGTGATGCTCTGTTGCATTTTGAATCCATGTGGTCCTTTTCTTTTCCTTCTAAGATGCCAACTAGTTTATCCATTGGGTGTTTACCAAGGAGAGGGGAAGTTTGTTGACTCTCGGGGCCACAGAGCAGTTGCTTGGCTTCTTTGTTTATAAGTTGCTGGTGGCACTGTCAGTGTCGGTGATTTACCTCTTTACAAAATCATTAACAAAGCTAATATGATCTGCATAATGTAACCCAGAGAACTCAACGCATGTGCTGTTCTTTTTTTTTGTTTTTTTGTTTTTTGCTGTTTTTTTTTTTAAACACTAGACTGCAGTGAGGATTCCTGTGGAAACATTAAAGCGCACATCTCCCACCATCCACTATCATCCATCTCCATATGTCAGCCAGTTAAACTATCTTTGCTGTGTACTCTTAGAGGAAACTGGCACTTGGGGATGGCACCTTGCACATTTTCTGTAAGTATTTGGAAGCCAAGCTAAATGAATGCTAAAACCAAATCATCAGTTATTTTCCCATCTCAGAGGAAACTTGTGCGTGACGAGAGGAAGCTCTTTGATGCTGTAGCTGAGAATGTGGACTGTGACACTGCATTTTAATTTCTTACTTATCTGTGTGTGCATGTGTGCGTGTGTGTGTATGAAAACTCATATTGCACATCCTTCTGACTGTGAACCCATGATCTTATAAGTGTTGAACACATCTGTATATCAAATACATTTTCACAGCTTCATCCTGACTTTCAGCGGTCTTCATGTCTTTTTTTATGTTGTTGTTTTTGTTTGTTTGTTTGTTTTGCTTACAGACACATTTATACATATAAACAAAAGTTAGCAAGTCTTCAGCATAAAAAACCTAATTTTATATACCCTTCCATCAATCTCTCTTTTCCACAAGTCTCCTTTTCCCTTTTCTAGCTGTATGTTGACACATCAGTATGACACTATATTCTATTTCTAACCCTCTCACATTGCTTAGCTTCACCATGCCAGAGTGAGTCACATCATTAAAAATGCTCTAGCTGCCGACCTTGCCCACAATCTGCCTGGCCAAATAGTGCGCATAGTGTGTTCACCCGACATGCCACAGCAGTGTGGGCGAGGCTCAGTCCCTTTTGTGTTACCTCTTTCTCAATGCTCCACCTTCTACCCGTGCTCATCGGTCTGATTGCCTCTGTCACTCTGGATAGAATGATGCCCACTGTCGAGCAAGCTCTGAATCTTACTCTGCAGTTACAATGACGTCAGGCAGAGGCAGAGACGGGTGAAGGGAGCTGCAAGGGGAGGAATAAAGAGATGGATAGAGATCGAGGCACATCCAGGGTGGGAGAATAGATGGGAAAGCGGAGGGCGGACGGGTGGAAAAATAATGCTGCGAAAAGGCAAATATAAGCTGAAAAATTACAGGAGAATGAGGAAGAGGTTTAGCTTAAAAAGGTGTGTGTGTGTGTGTGAAACTGAAGCAAAAGAGGGGAATGATTAGGTTAATAGTAAAGCAAGGACCAAAGCTGTACAAACACAGAAAGCAGAGGAAGAAGAGAACATGTGGGCTGAAGAGACAGTTTTTTCCTTCCCTTGATATATTGTTTTTAGAAACTTACAGTTTCTGCTGCACATGTGGGTGGATCTTGCACACACACATGAGCACTCACATGTTCATTGAATTAGATGACAGAGTTTAGTGATCCAGATGAATCAGCAGATTAACATTAGATAGGTGACAAAAAAAAAAAAAAGACTCTGAAAGGACCACTTGTTCACTCTGGATCAATTTACTGCAGTCCTGCAGTAATTTTTCAGGACAGAAGATAGCGCTGTTGCATTGCATCAGGCAGCATACAATTAACTATGCAAGTGGGCCATATGTGCGTAAATTAGATTGTAAACGTAAAGGTCTGTGTGCCTCACGTGCGCATGGATTCAAGGATACACTGATGTGCGTGAAAATAGGCACACGCATCACTTCTGTTCATGCATACTAATTTATATGCATGGATACAGTACATTATATGTTATGGTTATGTTTTTTTATTTTATTTTAATTGTTCTATATATATAATATTGCAGTGGATAAATCTAATTTATGTCCACACTGAAATTTACAGGAATTTAGCCTCAGCTTGAACCAACCTGAAACTTTTAAAATTAGAACATGTCTAAGTCTTTACTGCTGTGCAGGCAACGTATAAGGCACACTTTAAGTACAGTGCACAGGTTTATGTAACCTGCATGATTTGCCCTCTGGGATAATTTGCATCACTTATTCATATAAGGCCAGGCCAGGCTAGCCTAGCTTGAATGGTTCTCCTGGGCTGGATCGTGGGGCTTTCATACAGCTGTTACCCCAGTCTCTTAGGGCTTATCATGTGATGAGGAAGATTGAAGGTAAAGGGCAGGGGCTCTGGGGCTACATGTGGCAACGGCAACTAATTTCTCTTGGGTCACATGAAGGGAGTGGTATTTTTAAATCTATACTGTTTGCAAGGTGCAACACGGACTGCTGCAACATATATAAATAAATGAAACAAACAAACAAATAAATAAATAAATATGGAAGACAAACACATTCTACACTGGTCCATGTAGTGAGAAGATAAACAACTAATATACAAAAACTTGTTTTTCATTTATGAAGGTTAACTTATGAGATGTAAGATAGCAATGTGACTGTTGTGATGCAATGTAAAGAAGAACGTGAGTTTGATGGTGCATGCTGACCGCAAAGGAGACAATCAATGCCGTTTTGCAGCAGAGGGAAGAACAGATGCTGAACTTTGCTAACATGAAGACAGAGCAAACAGAAGACAGAGCAAAAGACAAAGGGTACAAATCATAAAGCAGAATTTTTGTTGATGGTAATTTTCCTGCAGGACATCAAAGACCACCATCAATGTTTAATTACCCTTAAACCTGTGTATATGAACCTTCACACAGTGCTACAAGACAGCTCAGGATACATCTACTGCCAGCAAAGGAATAAAAATGCTACTTACCGCAGAGTGATATCTATTACAGCTATTACTTTATGGTTATTTGTAAAAAAAAATTAAAATAAAATAATCAAAATCGTTATAACACTTAACAAAACATCAAAACAAGTCTTTTCTATACTGTAGTTTAAAAAAAACATCATTAAAGCTCCCATGAAACACTTCCCGATTGTACATTGTTTGCTGTTGGCGCAAGTGATGATAGTGATGTGCTGTTTGTGTACCAATTATCTCCATCTGCTATGGCCATGTGCTGGGTGGGTGGATGATCATTATTTTTCTTAGTGATAGACAGAAAAATAGATGCTGTAGCAACATATATCCCTTTAACCTCTTCCATCCCTCTTCCTTTCCCTTCTTGTGAAGTATTTAGGACCTTGCGAATAATGCTGGTTAACCATTGAACCCCATACTGTGCTGTGTGTCACAGTGTCTGTGTGTGTTCACATTATCATAAAATTCTAAAGTATAATTTACAGAATTCTATTTCATTCCAATGTTTCATTTGCAGTGAAAGTGAGAAATGGGAATACGAAGGGAGAATAAAAAAAATATCTCAGATGAGGTTTTCCCCACATTCATTTTGCTACTTTATAAAAAATGCAATTAAAATATGCTTAACTATCATCCTGGGGATCGTTGTTAAAGTTTATTTTTGTCTGTTATTTTTTACGACTCGCTCATACACTGTTGATTTATTTAGTGGTGATATAAGATTGTGAGCACTTGCGTCAGACCTATTAATGACCTGGTTTTGTGCCGCATACAGTTACTTGAGCAGCATGGTGGTGCAGTGGTTAGCCTCACAGCAAGAGTTGTTCTGGTTTCAAATTTGCATGGGAGGGAGTTTGCATGTTCTCTCTGAGTCTGTGAGGCTTCTTCCCACATCCAGAAAATGTGTTGGTGATTCTAAATACGCTGCTGGTGTGAATGTATGTGAGAGTGAATGATTGCCTCTCTCTCTGTCTCTCTGTTAGCCCCGTGATAGACAGGAAACCTGTCCAAGGTTCACACCGCCTCTTGCCCTATATCATATTTGGGAGAGGCTCCAGCTCCCCCTGTGACCCTGAACTGGATAAGAGGATGGATGGATGTTGCCATCTAGGTTTCTTTCAAGAG